GATAATTTATGCTGTCATATTCTATAGCAATATAATAATTGTGCCAATGAAATAAAGCATTTTCGTAACAATATTAATATTATTTGTATTTGTGACTGTTAACATTATGTAAGATTCAGCATCATTCTGAGGCTTGACTTGATCTAGAGCAAAATAAATATAGTCGTTAATTGCAACAGATCCATATCATAACTCAAGTTATAGTAACGCATCTTCCAACTCACCTTCAATGTCTGTCAACACACAAAAAGATAAAGTCAGATGTTTCTGCTCAAAATGCAAGATAGGTGGTGGTAAAACTATTAGTATGCACACATATGCATTACATTCCAAAAATGACATAATTCCTCAGTCGAATCAAATGAATATTATAATCCAGAACGACACTACTATTCCTGACAGTACTCTTGTAAATGAATTACAATCTAATGTCTCATCTGAGCATATTGTTTCTAATAGTAATAGTACAGAATCTCCAGCGAAAAGACATTGTATAAGAGGAGTGTTAACAAAATCTTTATGGATATGAAAGTAATGATAATGACAGTGATGAGGATAACTCACTAGGGAACTCTCCATATGGAACAGAGAGTGAGATTCAGTTAGTAGACTTGGACAATGAAAATGAAGATGTCATCCCTACCAGTTCATCTAACTGGAGACCATCATACAGACATGTCAAGCTACCATCTACACCACCAGTGCTTTCTCAGAGTCTAGCAATCAAATGGGTATTGTTTTGGGTATTCACCTTCCAGCAAGCTTTTGCATTACCAAGGCAGCAATTTCTTGTTTACTAAATTTCCTCAGCTTTTTGTTCCTGAAACTAAACAATAATGAGTATGAAGGATTTCCTGGCACTATATACAAAGCATATAATATGTTCAATTATGATGACGAAATATGCAAGTACTATGTCTGCCCCCAGTGTCACTCACTCTAATCAAAAAATAACTCCCTTAAACACTGATGACCATACACAGTGTATGAAAGCAGATTGTAAGACATTATTAACAAAGGCTGTCCGAATGAGCAAGTCACAGATGAAATATAAGGTAATATTAATGAACTATTCATCAAAATTTGTTAACAATATGTTACCTTCAGCCTATTAGAGTTTATCCATACAAGGGCATTATGTGGCACTTAGCAATATTACTACAGACACCCGATTTCGAACAATTGCTAGAGCATCCATATGAATACAACTCAATTCCTGGGGTCTTATCTGATATATATGATGGTCACATATGGAAAGAATTTAAAGATGACTGTGGGGAACTGTTCTTTACTAGGAGCAAAACAGATATCAAATTAGGTTTTAGTTTAAATGTGGATTGGTTTTGTCCAAGCAAACACATTAGGACATCAGTTGGTGCAATATACCTTACTATACTTAATCTTTCTCAGCACCTTTGCTATAAAAAGATATATACTTTATTAATAGGTATTATACCAGGACCTTATGAACCTAATGCTGATCAAATTCAAAATTACCTTGAGCCCTTTGTTGATGAGTTGCAGCAGCTATGGCAGGGACAACTCTTTCTTACAAGGAATTTTCCTGTAGGAAAAATGGTTCGCAGTGCACTGGTTTTAATTGCTTGTGATGTACCTGCAGCATGCAAAGTAAGTGTTCAGTGAAACTCTATTTTTTTTTCAATTATACTTACTAATATAAATATGTTTAAATATGTTTAAATGCAGATTTGCAGATTTGCAGGACATTCTT